AAATTTAACCTAAGTTACACTACATAACCTTTCTTGTTTCGAAGAATTCTCATCTTTATAAACAAAACAAGCGTCTAATCAAACTCCAGAAACACAGATAAGAGCAAAACATATCTAAAACAGTTATTCAAGATATTTTTTTTTTAGTAAAACTAAAAATTAATACTTACTAGCTACCTTTAAATGCTCAAAACAGTAAACCACTAAATAAATTTTCATTTATCAGCTTGGCATCAGAATTACAAGACTGCTAGAAGAAATGTAAAATTTGCTGACAAATATATATAAATTGACTAAGAGGGAGGATTGACATACTGTATGGGTAGTTGCCACAGTACGCACTTTAAAACAAAAATTCGCTTAACGTACTTTGCCCTCTGATGAAGGCTATATAGACAAAAATACAAGACATAGAAAAGAATTAACACGAAGTATTTATTATATTAGCCAAAAAAAAAAACATTACATTCGTACTATGTTGTAGGGGTTTATTTTAATATCTTCACATTTATTTTTAATTTTGAAACCCTTTTCTTTACGTTCTTGTTTCCCACCTACAATTCCCTGCCAGAATGAGTTGTCAGTATGACGTTTTATGTAAATGAGGTAGAACCAGCATTTAATGGGAAGTTCTAGTCACTTCCATAGAAGAGCTCAGAAGTTCTCTGTAGAGCGTGTTCTGCCTTCTGGCCACCTCCTTGCTTTAAGCCAATCTTACTACGTTCGGCCGTATTCTTACAGACCTGTTAGTATTCGCCGGTGAGATTAAATAAGCACCAACTTGCTTAGTTATTTCTATACAGCTTCGGTTAAGTGTAAGTTAGTTAATTAATGTAGTTTCTTATTTTCTGTCTCAAATTAAAGCCCAAGTGGAGCCTTTCTGGTAACACCGAGAAGGGCCGACTGTAAATATTGAGTTAAATAAGAAGATATTTTAACCCTTTTCTGGAATTTATGAAAAAGCAATGTCGCTTTACACATCTCTAGTTCTAGCTTATGTAGTCGTATCTTATGTAGTCGCTTTACACATCTCTAGTTCTAGCTGCTAAGGGCCACTTTAACTAGAACTCTATAGTTTTATTAATTAGCGTCATGCAAAATAAAATTTAGAGAATAAAAAAATTCGCTTGCTATTTAAACTCAGCATAATTTATATTCTGATAAAGGCTGACAAAATACAAGAGAAAAAATAATTGACACAGAGTAACATGTGAATTATAATAAATCTTTTATACATACTGTACTGCAAAATAAAATAATGTAAAATACACTTTACAGTATACTTTCTATCGTATGAAAGTAACGGATTTTAACCAGTTTCATAAAAAATGATATTCTGTACTATTCCAAGGGATGGTAGAAACAAAAACATTCTTTTTTCAACAAAACGATGAAAATAATAATAATATGGTCAATACATGAGAAAAAGAGTGGCTTGGTTTGGTTTATTTAATTATGGCAAAGCACTCGTGGGCTATCTGCTTAAGAGGATGGATGCTTTCATGGAGGATTTTCTAAGGCAAATTCGCGCGTTACACGCTACACCTAAAGAAACCACGAGGATGCCCATGCAGACAGCCCGTGCACCAGAATTAGAGCCTCGGGACCGAACTACCAGTGTTCAGCGACTATACCGTTCGGCTGCTGGTGCTCCCGTGAGAAAAAGAACAATGCAGTACAATGAGAAAAAGAAGAATTTTCGGCACATTTTAATAGAGAAATATTGTACCCGAAAGCATAGAAACATGTGTTGTATACACTGTGATCCCTATTGATATATTTATAAATATTAATGAGATGTGAAAGGGTAAAGGCGCTAATATCAGGGGTTGTGACCGCTTTTAATCCTTCTAATTGTTACATTGATCCTAAAGAAAGACGAACTGTTGGCCATGATTTTTAATGCTAATTTGATTTGAGATGCTAATACTGGGCATGTTTGAATCCGCAGGGTAGACATGCTTAATAATTAATGTCAATAGCTTACTATGTTGCAGCTAATTTTCCTTTAGTGTGTATTAAAGGAACTTAAAAAATTGTTTTAAAAATTTTTTAATTCAAAAACTTTTTTCTGTTTTCTTATTAATTACCGATACCGAATCAATAGCTACGAAAGGCACTACTGCATTTAACACTAGAAATAAAACGCGAAATACCAAAAATACAATAGGCATTGTTTTGAAAATTGTTTTCCATTTTCAGGAGCAATTAAAATAGAAAATGACGACACTGATGAACGATTTACAAATAATACCGTATAATAGATAGCGCATGCAAAAAATAATAATCTCATAAAAGTAAACAAATAAAAATATCAAATCATAAAAACTTGTAAGATTCTCACTAGTGTATTTCTCAGTTACTGTAGAAAATGACGAATCTTAAGAATTAGTTAGCGAATAATCGCTTAAGTTCGTGTAACAAGAAACAACAAGAAGGAAGAGTAACCAACCCTTTATTATTCCAATAAGATTTAACAAAACTCCGTCTTGGAGTGTACAATAAAAGCAGACACTTGGGCTTGAACTTAAGAGACTAAGAAATAAGCTAAAACTAAGATTAACTAAAGAAATATAGCCGAAGCTATCAAGATTCTAATCGAGCTGGCCCTTAACTCTATTTGACAACGAAGCTTATCAAGGGCCTGAGTACGGCTGAGCGTAATAACAGCTTTGTGAAAGAAAGAGTAGCCAAAAGGCAGAGGCGCGCAAATCAGAAGCTCTGATTTTCTCTAACTCTGTAAGTAGACTTCGCGATTTAAACACCGCTCCTCCTCATTAAGTATTCAGAATGATTCCAAAACTACGTTCTGGCCGGAAGTAGTAAGTTGAAGTTAAGAATTTGACAAGAAAGGAACTTTAACTTAAAACTTAACTGTTAATAAAATTAACATAATCTTTACAAACTAAATATTATAAAACAGTAATAAAAATGGATAACTTTGCAAAAGCGAATTTACTGCGGAATAGCTCAACTATTATTTCGAAAACGCTTCTCGCATTTTTATTTTAATCTTATACATCCTTTTGCAGAGAAAAAAAAAAAAAACCGAAGCACCATGAAGGAAGTGGTTGTTTTTGATGAAATTGAATATGTGTACAGCTGTACCGCCCCTGGCCGCAATGCATGTTTGAATTCGTCGAGGCAAGGAGTGATAGAGGTTCCTAATATCATCCTGCGACACATTCTTCCAGGCATTCCTCAGTTGTCGCTCCAGATCTGCGATATTTTGTGCTGCCCGAATCTGGCGGCCTACCATGCCCCAGACATGGTCGATTGGTGAAATGTCTGGTGACCTTGCTGGCCAAGGAAGAGTATCAACCGCACAGAGACAGTCCAGAGATATGCGATCGGTATGTGACCTGGCATTATCTTGTTGGAAAATGGCTCCAGATGATGTGCCATGAAAGATAATGCAACCGGCCGCAGGATGACATCAATATATCGTTGAGCTGTTAAAAGATATACAGAGGATGACTAAAGAAGACCTGCTGGCATAAGAAATAGCATCCCACACCATCACACCAGGAGTTATGGCTGCCGCTGGCCCAGTCCTCTCTAGACATGAACGCGATGGCCATCTGCTTCAAGAGATTTGCGGATTCATCGCTGATTCATCTGCCGGATTCATCGCTGAACATTATACGACGCCAGTCTGATGGCAGCCATGATGATCGGCTGCGAAACCACTTCAGACGACTCCGCCGTTGTGGATCAAAGGCAAACATCTTAAAGGCCTCTGTAAGCGTACCCCGCCTCAGACAAGCGCCGTGAGAAGGTGGACGATAGGACGGGAGGTATAGACGTGGCTGTAGTGCGTTAAATAGTCGACAATGACACAGTTGGGGCGGTTCGGTAATGGCGAACAATCATCTATTGCCTTGCATTTGTGCTCCTTGGCTTTCCAGAGCCTTCCTTTCGTCGGCAATTTTCTGTAACTACAATTCCTGCCAACATCTTTGCACAGCAGTGTCTGTACACTGCAGGTGGCGGTCTATTGCTCGGTATGACCACACAGCTTCACGCAGCCCTACAATGCGACCACGTTCGAAGTCGTTTAGTTGTCTGTAATGTCTTCTATATCGTCATAATGTCATCTTGAGTTGCATTTTTACGGAATTACAATGGCAGCAACAAAAAAGATACATTTTCCGTCTCTGTTACTGGTTTTATACTTTGCGAATTGCGCACTAGAAATGCGCGCTCACAATTTCTGTTCATTTGCCTTGAAACTTTAATATTTTGCATGTTCAATCAAGTTGGTTTTGCATACCAAATTTCGTCACGATCCCAAAAGTCCTTCTTGGTGTTTCGATATTTTTTTCAAAAGAGTGTATTATATAATCTTTATATAATGTGAAAGAAGTAACCACCAATAATTTTTTTTAAAGCTTTATGTTTTTTCTTGAAAATTATATTAGTGTTTGTTGAGTGAGACAGAACATGATTGTTTACCTGTTTTCTCTTACTACCACACAGTCAATGTAATAACCAGCGAAGTTTACTGTCGTACCAATAAGTTCGAATCACAGAAAAGGCATGGATATTTGTAAGTGTATAGTGTTTGCGTTACAAGGGACGGGACACTCAGAATACACGTCGAGCTAAAAGTCCTGCTAGTGATTGATGAAAAGGCGTACGTGTCCCTCGGATAACTTAGCGGTGATCTGCGGATAACTTTTCGGTAATTTCCTTAAAACTGGGAATTGGGGCTTCAACTAATAACAAGGGTCGGTAATACCTAATTATAGACCAGAATACTTTACTTCATAAAAGGAAGAGATCTTCTCCTAATAAAATGACTAAACTTTTAAATAAGAATAACGCCAAACAAAATTCAAATTTCACTGAGTTTTAAAGATTACCTCCTTCTGTTATATTTTTTCTCAGAATTCAGATATATATACGCATATTTCTATTAAAATATTTATTTGTGCAAGTTATGCATTCTACTTTATTTTTCATTAAACTATTTATTAATTTTATTATTTTTTTTCCAGCTGTAACATATATTCTCTTCAAGCAGCGAATGGGCTGTCTTGCAGATGATATTGGCCCAGATTCCCAAGCAAAGAAGTACATCCAGTATGTTAACGATTTCTTCCGACTGTCGGCAAAAGTTGAACTGTCATCACTACCTATCTGGAGGGTATTTCCTTCGCTGTCACCATCTTTCCAGAAGCTTAAGAAAGTTCATGATTTTTTCTTTGAGTAAGTGGCATAATTGCACATATTATTGCTTATTGCATATATTTCAGTAAGTGAGATTAAATTTGCCTCACAAATTTTATCTTATGCTACTGAAGTCTCATACTAAACTTTAAATAAGAGTAATTTACTTTATTACATCAGCTTTACAGTAAATTAACTTCAGATAACATGTAGTGTCGTGTGGCCCTAACTTGTCAGCAATTGTGGTAGTGACTGCTACGAAGTTTGAATTTACACAGACACGTAAGAAGGGTTTAACGCCCTTTTTATTCAACTTTAAAAATAACAGCTGCGTCCACTTGACGCTCACAAACTACGCCGGCCCGGCGGTTAACTAAAACAGAACGTAAAACTGAACAATAATGACTGGATGAATAAAATAGCGAGATCACTATCCACGATGTTCTGAGATCTTAAAAACTAACCTAACCGCGTTCTAAAATACCGCTGAGATTCAGCGAGCTTACTAATTAAGCAGTTGAAAGATTTAGCAAAAACTGCCGGGATAGGCACAGGCCGAAACGCGCGGTTCTTAAATTTCTACCTAGCAATCTTTACGTTCGCGATTCAAGAAGCACACCTACAATCTCGTTTTCCTTTTATTTAAACTCAACTTACTTCTGCTAAATTTGAATATACTGCGCGATCTACTTCAATTTACATACTGTAGCATTGGCAATTCTAGGGGAAAATAAAGGCTTGACATAAAAGATAGCTTAAAATAAATGTTAGTTAAAATAAATATAAACTCTACAAACATATAGACATATTATGCCCGTTAATAAACGCAATTCAAATTTAATTATTAGCCGCACATGTAAAATTTCTGCTTTTTGTGAGCAAGCAAATATTAAAAAACTTTTAATAACACTTGCACATATGTTTATAGTTTAACGGTTTGCAATAGAATCCTTGGCTGTTCGGATGTCGAAAGACCGAAAATTTTAACTTGTTAAATACCTCGAAGAAAGGTTTCTGTCTTCAAAAAGAGGATTTCAGGTTCTGGTCAGACTCCTGGACCACCCCTGGGTACTTTGCCCCAAAATTGGGTGGAAATAGAACTTCAAACCTCTTTGAGGCCCTGGCAACCAGTCTTACATAAAATTTGGACTCAACAACCCACACAAGTCTCCACGTGACTCAATTCACGGTGAAGTACTAGCGTAGCAAAGTTTTTGCCCTATCATTTGCCACTACTTATATTTTCATTCTATGATTTTATGCTATGTATTTTGAATTCCTCGGCTATTAATTCTTAAACTGTGTGATGTTATATATGAGACACTTCCGTTCTCACAAACTGGAAGGTTAAACTTAGTTTTTTTTTAAAGTTGTTTTGGGCTTTAAACTGGGATCAAGATACGAAGATATGAATAATTTTTTTTAAATGTTAAGATGTTTATATTTTTCACACATTTAATGGTATCTTAAATGTAAGTTTTTCAAGGTGTTGTTAGTCTATAAGGTTAAATTTATATACGGCATTTTAATTTTTTTTAAATTTGTTTGGCAGACATCGGCATTTGAGAAAATCTGGAAAAAATATAGTTATGATGAATAAAAATCTCCGAAGTTTTCGAATCGATTTTGCTCACTTACTCGATAATTTAGTCTTCGATCTTGTAACACTGTATCTGCCGTCATCTATCATACATACCACCTGTCTTTTTTCCAGAATCACGTTTTTCTCTTTATTTACTCTCCTTCAGTTTTGGGATCCAAATCGGAAAAAAAAATCTATTTATTTCCTAATTAAGTCATTTGATTGCAAGCAAAAATTATTGCCAAATTGTTGCCAGTTAGAGTGAAATAATAATTATTAACTATAGGGATAAAGAAGTGAAATAGCAAGAAAATTACTTTTTAAGGCTCACATATAAAGGCAATTACGAAAGTAAAACTTGTGGAACAATTGAAATGTAATTATAACGATGTCAGCATCGGACGTAATTGCATAAATGCATACTAAAAATAAGTTCGAAGCTTAATAGCGGAGTGCCAGAACTGGCAAAGTTTCTCGCAGGACACTGCCCATAGATGAGCTACCTTTATCTCTTTGGTTACACAGTAGTCTTAGAAAATATTTCACAACTTTATTTCAAAATGCAGATTGACAACTTGGTGAAGAATTAAGGGAGACATTTTGATTCAGCTGTTAAATTATTTGTATCAATTAGAATATTGGAAAAGGGTTAGTATGCAAGCAAACGTAAAAAATTAAGAATGTTTCTGGTCATTTAAAAGTATGCAACATTAAAACAATTAACAGCAAATTTGATATAATATCACGGTTGAAAATAGATATATTTAATTATATAATAGGATAAAACGCTGTTTTGATAACGTTACGAAATTTCAGAATGCTGTATATTTGTCAGAAAGTTGGTTTCTGACAATCTAAATCTTCATATTTAACAATTGTTAATGGATTATCTGTATATATTTAGCATCTAATTTTAATTGATACCTTTCTTTTCGAATGTACAGAATCTGTATTTTCCTAAACCTGTGTGGAGTTAAAAGCCGGCGGATCGTCTTTGTGAAACTACAGCAGTCAAAACAAATTTTTATCGCCATCGCTTAAATTAGCCAAAATAATAATTTCGTACGTAGATTCAATTTTATATACATTCTTGGTTCTATAGAAATCTCTAGTTTCTGTTAGAGATAGTACAGTCATTCACACTTTTCTAAACCGGGGTTATTCAGAGTTGATCTACAGCTTCTGATAAGTCATTGGACTGCGTAATATTCGTGAGGCTTCAGTCATAACTAAAGTTTAAATCTTTCACATCTATACTTGAGCGAATATGGTAATTTAAATGTGGGAAGTTCAGTAAAATGCGTATTGTAAGAAAGTATTATTCAAGAAGTGAAAAAAATCTTCAAGTTTTAAATAATTCTTCTAAAATGATATTAAAAGAGCTTTCAAAAATGATTAAATTTCCTATTCCATAATTTTGGTCGGCTTTGCAACAAAATATTTCAGTCCAATTGATTTAATGCATCTGTTTCTATAATAAATTAATTGGGATATTTCCTCTCTTTCCCTAGTTTTCAAATTTTCGTTTACATTTTCTCTGGGTAAATATTTCTGACCTGCTTTCAAAATACTGTTACGAATTTGGTATTTAAAAAGCTAATGTTAGTTCAATTACAAATTAAATGGTTTTATTTCTTGCGCAGTGCAGCGCGTGACGAATATTAAAAGAAAGCTAAGCCGGAAAATTAAAAATACAAGAGCGCGTGCATTAAATAAATAAATATCTCTTTTTGATTTCGAGAAAGTACTGGAAAATTCTAGCGCGTGATTTTAAAAAGCTTATAAAAGGAGGAAAACATCTCAGTTTGTAGTAGTTGCGTAGTTTTGTTGTTGTTTAGAAAACTGCTGTTGTTGATTATAGCGAATTCGCGGATTAGCGTTCTTTAGCTGTTATGAATTACATTCTATTGTACATTTGAGTAGTTAAAAGATAACTACTGTGAGATATTGTAATACTGCATGATAATTTGAGAAAATTTAAGCATTTTTGTTGTGATAATAATAAATTTTTGTTCATTTTTCATCGGATTTGTGCATTCATTTCATAACGAACCCGTACGTACGCAACAATACTTTCTTTAAAAGACTTTTCCCATAAATTATAGGTTTCAGTATTTATATTTAGAATCTAAAATTTCCCGCTTTTCTTTAAAATTTTAGATTTAATATATTTAAAAGTTTATCAAACAAGAAATGATTTGAAAGTCTGAATTTTTTGTAAGGTTGTAGAAATGTAGAAAATTAACGATATTCAGTATAAAGAATAGAAAACTTTTATTCATGTCACACAGAAAATCACTCCCATTTTACAAACTTTTAATGAAATTCAGAAAGAAAAATGTAACGGTGGGAGGTCTCTTAGAAAGGTCCTGTCTCTAAACAAATTGAATATCTTGTTTTCAATTTGTAACTTTTTATACCGCAAATCGGGAATGTCTGGGTTGCGAGTATATATGAATCGTAGCTTGGAAAGAGCCCAGGACTACTTCACTGTGTTAGACAGTTTTTGCTATCGAAGCTGGTCCTACTTAATATTTATTCAAGGAGACTGGAACTGATGTCCTATACTCCCTGACGATTGACAAGGAACCCTTTAACGGCTCCATATGATAGTATCTTTACATGTTTCTAATGAGTTTTCATATTTTCGTCCCATTCTTACGAGAAGTAAGACGTGGTTAGGCCAAATAAACAGACGTGGAGAGATCCGTTATGACATCAAGAATTATGCTTTCTTTGGGGAAAATGTAAAGATCCATTCTCAGGGGAATATGAATCTTGAAGCTTCTGCTACAAGTATTTCAAGAGCTCTTGTTAGCTACTTCTGTAACACTAAGAGAGTTTAAAGACGAAATTGGGAAATGAGATCTTGGAGGCACGACTGTTTAATGTTAGAGATTTTGATTGCATAACATTATTCCTTCGTAAGGTAATAAACATAAGTTTTAGTAAGCAGTTTAGATTAACGCAAAGTAACTCTTCAGTGAAAAAGCCTATAAAATGTAATTAAGTATTACTGATTTTGTGCTTTTTCTCCCTAGTTCTGTGTTCTGTTCTCTTTCCCTGTACATGGTGAAATTTTATTTCTATCTCTAAACTGATCTCTTCGAATTTCCGAAAATAAACATTTTCCATTCTGAAACTGTAAACCATTTTTGCTAGCTCGGTCAACTCAAATAATATTCTGTAACTGACTTTATTCATGCTATACTTGACATTTAAAAAAATGGGAAAGAATTATTGTAAATAAATCAGTAATCTCACTGTCAAAGAGTTTCTGATAGTTACTCAGCCTTTTATGATTACAATGCCAGCAGGTAGGAGAACTGCTATTATTGATAACTTTATACAAAAGTATTCGCTTACTCATCTGTTTAATAATTCACTTGATTATCTTGGATGTCCTGTAGGAAATTGAATTCTGAAATCCGTACATACCAACGAGTACAAAAGGTTT